ACGTCCAATTACAAAGTAACAATTTCATTAAATATCCTATTTTTTCCACAAATACCCATACTTTACATCACATCATTACTTTTATACTAAAAAAGTAAAGACAAAAATGTCATTTTACTACTTTTACCTACTAACTATAATTAAAATACTATTATTCCTTAATCTCCGCGCCAAAAGTAATTTTATACTTTTAGCTTGGATGGAGGGAGTATATTATTTCCTCCGTCATTCAAATCTATACTCACTTTCCTTTTTGAATTGTTATCGAAAATTATTCTCGTTTCCCTTTTAAGTAAAAAATTATTACATTTTCTGTATTTTTTTACTATAAAAAAAATAACAATTATTCCTTACTTTTATTAATTTCAGTATCCGATCAAATAAATATAAATTTGCACTACGGGAGAGAGTACAAAATATTATAATATCAACATTGTAAATATATTATATAATACAGCACAAAATATCAAGCATACAACACATGCTTCAGTAAAATACAATATTATACTGTGCTATATACAAAATGCATTATCCCTTTCATAAAAATATGCTGATTTATTATAGTAACTACCGCTTAAAAATATATAACGAATATATATATATATATAGATATAGGCAGACAAAGCGCCGGTTTTGGCTGTTAGTTAGATCGACCAATCAAAATACAACACGTTTACAAGTATTTTATAATTTATAATTCATTATATAAATAGACACAGTAATTAGACATATATACGACACTAATAATAATAATAATAATAATAATAATAATAATAATAATAATATTATGTAGAATGTTTTTATCGTCAATTACGGGTGACTGTTGTAGTATTCAATGAATCTATTGCCTCTCTCTCTATATATATATACATACATATAATTAGATACATGCACTCAACATCTACATAGATTGTATTTGCTGTTAATTTTATGGTTTGTTTGTTTAGTGTTTTATTTTGATTTATAAAGTTTTTTTATAGAATTATGTAAGTAATACTCTGCCCGTCCCATAAATATAGTTTTAAATGAGTTGGACACAGAATTTAAGGAATATCGATAGTTGGTAAAAAATATAGATAAAAGGTTTTTTTGTCGTTGTGAGTGTATTAGAGTAAAAAAGTAATAGCAATTGTGTAATAAAAATGAAAAAGGTATGTGTAGTTTTATGATGATATGGTTATTTATGGAAAAATAAGACTATTGTTTTGGGACGGACAAAAATGATAAAAAAGATTATTGTATTGCTACGGAGTGAGTATAAAAAAATATTAATATTTATTGAAAATTGTATAGATAAAAAATTGTGAAAGGACACACAATTAGTGTAATTAATATTTACTTTTGGTCCGTCTTTGCAAAAACGATCAAAATAAATTCTCATTTTTAAAATTCGTCTCAACCGTTTTGAAAATTTCATTGAACTATTATGAAGTTAACTTTGTATCAATTCAATTATATAGATGGATTACAATTTTTGAAAAATACTCTGGATTTAATTGCTTATCCAATTAGTTTTATATATATATATAATATGATCATCTTACTAATAATTTAAATATAAAAAATGTATATTATTTAAATACTTATATTATGAACTTAACTAATAAATAAAATTAAAACTTTTTTTTTATATAATTTATTATGAAAGTATAGCATAAATATTGAAATATTTGGATAATTGAATTCAATAGATGATAATAATAATAATAATAATAATAAATTTCGTAAGAGATAACCCGGTGATACAGGGTTGAACTTCAAAGTTAAAATTTTAAATTAAACTAATTATTTGATATTATATAAAAAATATTGATATAATATTCTAAAATATCACATCAAGTACTTTTCAATTTTTTTTTGTATTATTATTATTATTATTATTTTTTTTTTATCATTTTCAAAAGGTTTCAAGATTTTAGTAACTTCTACCAAAATCCAATCAAATTAATTGGCAATTGATTTATTTAGTAGTTCAATGTATTTAACCCTTCATTATATGTATACATATTGTATGTGTGCTCTCCATAAATTTGGATGATTGATTTCGCGGCAAATGATGATCTAGTGGTGTAAGAGATAACCGTGAGATTATAAATTTAAATGTTTCATGCCTTTGGATCTTACCTGACCCACATGATTTGCATAATGTGATTTGTCGAGCTTAATTTGCAGATTATTCATGTAATAAGACTTTTTTTCTTTTACAAATATATAGTAAATATTACTCATTTCATCTGCCTCTAATGATCATATTTACTTTTTGCATTGTATTTAACATTAAAAATACCATTATATTTGTATTATTTTTTTGTACAAGTGTCCTTCTATTTGTATTATAAAACACTAATAGAAATATTTTTGCAGATTTTTCTTAATATGTATAATAATTAATATTAAAAAATCAACATGCAAAAAGTAAATAAGACTTTTGGAGTCGGACGAATATAGTATCATTTATTTCAAAAAAAAAAAAAAATCCCTCAGTTTCAACATTATTGATACAATAGTTAAGATAACAATGTTTAATTAGTTATAGCAGTAAATTATAATATTATTTTATTATTTTTGTGTAATTAATTATATTGATAATTTTAAAATAAATTTAATATATATGACTAAAAAAATTAAAATATGTAATTAAATATTTTAAAAATTACTATATCGCAACAAAACATGTATACAATATGGATATCACTTTGTAGAGAATAAAATTCTCTATAATATAAGTAAGTAAAAAAATACATTTATTTTTTATATATAATTAATATAAACTAATTTTATAAAATAATTGTAATTTTAAATGCATATAAAAATATTTATTCTTTAGGAGAAAAGTAAAAATAAAACAGTTTTGTTAAAAATGTTTTAATTTAGTAAGTTTTACTCAAAATGAAAAGATATACTCCCTCCGTCCTGCTGCAAGGTTGTTGTTTACTTTTTTCACGTAAATTTTCAAATATTAGTATTATAATGAAAAAAATGAGAATGCCCCTATTAGTATTGTGTAATATAAAAGTAATGAGATTTGTATAATATAGTGTAAGTTGAAAGGGTATTTATTGTGTTAGGTAGGTAGTATAATTACTAAATTAGGAAATAATAACCTGTTTCGGGACGAAGAAAAATAAAAAATGAGAACCTTTCAATTGTACAAAAGAAGTATATTATCATGAAACATGCAAAAATAAAAATTGTAGACGGATGAAGTACATTTGTATTAAATATTATTTTCCTTAAAAGAAAGTAAACACAACCAATTATTATTTATAAAAAATACAAGTAAACACTAAATTGACTTTAAAAACTAAAATAAAAAATAAAAGAAAGAACATATATAAATATATCAAATTAATGAATTAGTGCTCTTAGATAATAATGTCAACAAGTAATTAGTTACTAATGTCAACCACTAATTTGATTAATTAGTAGTTGAAATTAGAAATTATTCCAATTTAATTTATTGTCACTTTTAATTTTTTTTTTTTCAACTTAGGAGTTCTTTTATATATATATAGAAAAAGAAAATTTCGATTAGTTGCCACCTGTTGATTATTTTAATATATATTTTGAGAAAAAGATTACTAAAATATAAATTGAGAAATTAAATAATGAAGTCTATAACAGGGAAACCTCCTCGCACGTGTCTGTCGCTTTCACTTATACTGTTACATTTATATACTAATATAATACTCCCTCCGTCCCACATATCATGTTCACGTTGCTATTTCTGTCCGTCTATATACCATGTCACTTTTCTTTTTTTGAAAAATAATTATACACTTTAATCTCATTTTAAATTTTTTAATTTATTTTTTTTAAATTTTAATTAAACTAATTAGTTATCTTAATCTTAATTTATAATTATTTATATTATAGGATAATTATTTTCATTAATACATTCTTACTTATCTACTAATTATACCCCTCCTAAAATACTGTGTCTACGGTGTAGCATACACGGTATCTGGGATGGAGGGAGTAATAATTAATAATTATTAATTATTAATTAAAAATTGCATACTGAATGCTTATTTTTTTTAGTTCTTTTTTCTTTTTTTTTTCTTTTTTTTTTTTTTAAATAACTATACACTGATACCAAATACTCTAAATTTTATTTAAATTACAAATATAGAATTCCACTTATAATTACTTAACTAATAAAATATTACTTTCATTCGTCTCACTTAATTAGTCCACTATTTCTATTACCGTCTGTTCCACATAATTTGTTCATTTTTTTTGGAAATATAATAACATATTTTAATCACATTTTAAAATTAATAATATTATAAATTTTTTATTTTAATTAAATTATTTAGTCATTTTAATTTTAATTTATAATTATTTTTATTAAATCATAATAATTCACTAATATATTTGTTAATTATTTACTGATAAAATAATACCTAAAAATTATGTGCCTAAATTAAATGAGTGTGTATGTTTGAATTTTGAATTGAAATTTAAATCCTACAAATTTTGAATTGTACATAATTGTATAATATGAAATAACTAGGTATTATACTAAATTTTGAATATAAAATTAATTTTTAATATAATATTAAAAATAAAAAAATAAAAAATAAATATTTAATTTAATATTTTTAAGGATTTATAGTAAAATACTGCTAAAATCCTTGGGCAAATATTGTGGGCACCTAAACAACTGTGATTTATTGTAACGAAAGAAGGGTGTAACACGTGACCGCATAGAAAACAAACCCTAAATAATCATTGGGCAAATATTCACTACAAATTACAGTTGGATTTACGTAATTATTTTTTTAAAATAATAATTACCTGAACTGAGCAACACCGAAATCGTTTCCCGGGAAAAGAAAGAAGACAACCACGTGGGCCCCACCAGCTGGAACCATTAACGTGACAGCGCTGTCACCTCTCTACCGTCACAGCTTTCCCCTCAGTGGGCCCCATCTCTCTCTCTATATATATAAAGCCCACCTTCGTTCCCTTTCCACCTCTGAAAAAACCGTCACAAATCTCAACTCCGCTCTGCAATTCCCAAATCGGAAGAAATTTCAAAAACAAATTCCCCAAAATCGATGGCGAAGGGAGCCACGCTCACCAGAATCAAGTCTGTTTTGAAGAAAGTGCAGTCGATCAAGCTCAGCCGCGGCGGCGCCGGAGGAGGAGTCGCCGTGAACAATGTCTCCGACGAGGATGAGTCCTTCGTCGCCGCTAAGGATCTTCACGCGGTGTACGTCGGAAAATCACGGCGGCGCTACCTAATAACCTCCGATGTTCTCGAAAATCCTCTCCTCCGCGAGCTCGTTGAGCGGCGGCGCAACGACGGCGAGGCGGAGGAGGAGGAGGCGGCGGCTGCGGAGGAGGCGATCACCGTCGGATGCGAAGTGGTGCTGTTCGAACACCTCCTTTGGATGCTGGAGAACGCCGATCCTATGCCGGAGTCGTTGGACGAGCTTGCGGAATTCTACTCCTGCTGAAGAAGAAGAAGACGGCGGCGGCGCGGCCTAGGTGTGGCGGCGGCGGTTTTTCCGATGGTGTTGGTAGAAGTGTGTGGTTATCCAGCTGTATAATTCTTGATGAATTTTTTTCCCTTCGGATTTTAATAACGCTGTGGTGATTAGCGGTGTAGATTTAGTGCGGAAAGCTATTTGTTGTTGATCGGACGGGGAGGATTAACTGATTTTGCACGGCTAATCTTCTGTTGGAGTTGGTGCTGATTATTTTTTCCATTTTTCTCCTATTTCAAATTTTATTATTTTAATTTTTATATTTTTCAAAAATATACTTTCTTCGTTCTACTATAATTGACATAATTTTTATTTTATCTATACGTAGCAATTAATATTTTTTATTTTTGATAAAAATATTAAATTAAAATATATTTAATAAATATAAATTAACTTAATTAATTACATAATATATACTATTATAAATAACGTAGGATCCACTCAAAACCCTTTTATTTTTATCTTTTTTTCTAAAAAAATAAATATTTTTATCTATAAACTACACATCTTTTATAAAATTGATTTATGTTAATTATAAATAAACAAAATTATTTATTTATTTATTTGTATTATAGAAAATTTTATTATCTACAAAATGATATCTATATTACATGTATTTTTTAATTGCTATATAATTATTAAATATTTAAACATATATTTTAAATTTTTTAATCATATTTATTAAATTTACTTTAAAAATATAAATATTATTAATTATACAAAAAAATATATATATATAATAATATCATAACTAATTATTATTAACTAATTAAATATCTTCACCTTAAATACTGTATCTGTATCCTGATCAAAAGATTTATTGGCGATGAGAGGGAGGAAATATGTATATTTATAAAATATCTTATTAAATATTATTTTAATATTAAATTTAAATAATTTTTTTTTAAACTCATAAAAACAGATACTAGGCTCTTTATACTTTTAAAATTTTAATAATATTTTAATAATTTAATCTAAACAAAATTAAAATATCAAATTTATTTTTTAATCAAATAGTACTATCGCTTCCTTTTGGTCATAAGAGTCTCATTTATTTTTTACATATTGATCTTTGAACGTTAATTATTATATGAAAATATAGTACAAATTTTAAAAAAAATGATAAAAATATTTATATTAGTGTCTTATAGTACTATTATAATGATATTTGTATAAAAAATTATATAAATATAAAAATATTTTTAATGTTAAGTACAATAAATGAAACCCTTGGAGCGGAACATAAGGAATATTACATTTAATATTCCATTTTTTTTTTTCATATTTCTAATTTTTTTCTATACTTTAAAATATACAAAACCTCTATTTAAACAAACTTTTGGAAATTATCATTAATTATTGAATATATTTATATTATAATACTTTTGGTTTGTTTACATTAGTTTATATGTAATTTTTTATTTTGTTTGTTTAGTGAATAATTTAAATGGATTTTTTTTTATTATTATATAAAATATAAAGAATTGTGTATAATATAAATCATATTTTTTATATGTAATTTTAAATTTTTTTTATTTCTATTATTATTATATAAAATATAAAAAATGTGTGTAATATATTATTTTTTAGGGGATAAAATATTTTTGGAAAATTGTGTTTTTTATATATTATGTATCTTACACAAGTTTCAGTGAAAATAAATTATTATTTTTTACAAAATATAATATTAAAATATTGTATTCAAGAATTAATTAATTAATTAAAATTATATCATTGAATATATAGATTTATGTTCAATAGTGACTCATCTAGTAATTTAATTTCATGTTTTAAATATTCAAAATATGTTTTAAATACTTCCTCCGTCCGAAATTAAGTATCCATTTGCTTTTTGCACGTAGTTTTAGAAATATTAGTATTACATTGAGATATAGTAGGAATAAAGTAGAAATGACTAAAATAACCTTATTAGTATGTGTGATATAAAGATAATAACGTTTGTGTAGTATATTGTAAGTTGTAAGGGTATTTGTAATGTTAGGTAAATAGTACAATTACTAAAAAAAAATAGATATTTTGTTATAGGACAGACTAAAATAAAAAAATAAATATTTTGTTATGGAACGAAGGGAGTATTATAAATGCAATAAACAAAAAAAGTCAAAATCAAAAGCATAGAGGTTTTTCAAGTACATTAACACATGACACAACCCTTATAATTTGGTACATTCAATTATTTATTTTCAATATATATATATATAATTAAAAAAATACTTATATAGTATTATCCACCTACAACTACAAGCATTTGGTATGAAAACGCGTTTTTATGGAAGCAGCAATTGAAATATTCCCCTAAAATCGCGTTCCTAACTACAAATATTCTTATGGTTTACGCTTTATACCCCCCCACCCCCCCCCCCCCCCCCAAAAAAAAAGGCACTTTCATATTGGTCATGCAAATAAAAAAAAAAAAGTCGAATTAAGTATAGCAGGTGAATTTGTAAATAATTCAAATTTCGTCAATATATATTTTTATCGAGTTTGTTATATTCCCTTTGTCCCATATAAAGAGTAATATTTATTTTTTACAAGTACATTTTTTAATATTAGTATTCTATTGAGTTGTAGTAAAAAAGACAAAAATATCCTTATTACTATTTTGTAATATAAAAGTTAATGACATTTGTGTAATATATTGTAAATTGTAAGTATAAATTATTATGTTAGATAGAAAGTACAACTTGTCAAATTAGAAAATGATACTCTTATTTTGAGACGGATAAAAATAGAAAATAGATACCAATAATACTTAACACCATGCAGACACATCAACGAGGCGAGATAAAAAAATAATAGTAATAATAATGAATATATAAATAGTGTAATTATTATAATAATAAAACATGTGTTTGTTTAGTGAAATTATTCGGAAAGATATATTTTTTTTACGTGAAAATTGTGTAATAATATAAAAATAATAAATATGTATAATATATTAATTTTTTTGAAAAAATATATTTTTCGGGTACGGTGGAAAAATATTTCTATTCCATGTATAATGCCACATTTTATATTTTGTTCGTCCCACATCTATCTATGTATTTTTTTTTAAAAAAAAAAAACTTACACATTATGTTTTAAATTTAATAATTTATTATTTTTAAAATTTAATTAAATCAATTAGTTATTTTAATTTTAATTTATAAATATTTATATATTATATCATAATTAATTTTTAATTATTTATTAATTATATATCTCTTAAATTCATGTATTTACATTAACAGTGACTTATATCCAGAACAGATAGAGTATTTTTTATGAGAAAAAAAAAAAAGACAATTTTTTGTAGATGGGAAAGTATGTAACACACCCAATCATTCAATAAAAATCGTGCATTACAATAATAATAATAATAATAATAATAATAATAACATGCTGTAAAGATGTGTTTGGTAGACCAAACAAAGTGATATGTAGTTGGCAGCAAACATTAGATTTGGATCTTAAAAAACACAACACAATTAAGCATATATTTAGTCTTATCCATTTCTTAATGTACTTTTAATAATATATACATTTTCTTTGTCCTTATTGTGAAAAACAATTGACTTTGATTGTATTTTTGGGAATAATAGTTTAACTTTTTTTTTTATTTTTTTTATTTTTAATATTATAATATATTTCCAATAAAATAATTTTATTTATAGTTTTTCAAAAAAAATGTATTATGTTGTTATCAAATAGTATTTTTTTTAAAAAAAAAAAAATTCACTTAAATAATTTTCCTCAAAAGATTTTTACAATTTTCAATAACAATCAAACAAAGATTTCATTATTGTTAAAATACAATCTACAAATTTTGAATTATAAATTTATTTGAAGTAATATAAATAAATAATTGATATAAAATTTTAATTTAAAAATAAATTTTATATTATAATATATTTTACAATTTCATAGTAAAAAAATGAGAAAAATAAAAAAATTCAAAGTAAACAAAGTATATTTTCTATTTTCTCAATCATACTCAATATGTCTATTTTATCAATTTGAATTATCCACAATCAATATTCATTTTGTAATTTAGTAAATATAGTTCCAACAAAATACATTTATACTTTCAAGTAATAAATTATACTCCCTTCGTTCGAATACAATAGTCATATTTCCATAAATAATCGTATCATCGTAAAGCTATCCCTACCTTTTTATTTTTATTACACAATTGTCACTACTTTTTACACTAATACACTCACAAGGGCAAAAAAGTCTTTTATCCATATTTTGTTATCAACTACCAATATAATATCAATATTCCTTAAATCACATACCTAACTCAATTAAGACTATATTTATGGGACGGAGGGTGTATATTTTATCTTTTATAGCGAAGGAAATAAATACAAAATGTGAACATAAATTTGAACAATAAAGCAAATATACATATATTCTTTAATAATATTTTTAGAAAACCGTGTAATCGAAAATAGACTCATAATTTTAAAAATAAAAATCAACATAATATTATTCCTCCAATCATGTAAAAATAAGTTCATTTAGTTTGAGCATGAATATTAATACGATAGGGTACAAAAATTGATAAAAAAAAAATTATTTAATTTTTACTTATTAAATAAAACATACTTTTCCTATTTATGATTGATAAGTAAAATAAGTTTATTTATTTATTTATTATCGCAACCATAAAAACACAACAAAATACACAAGAAAAAGACAGTTGTTGCAAATCATTATTAATGTTATCTTTTATTTATTTATTTTAATGTTGTCTTAAAACAAGTACTACAAAAATGGTATAATAAATGAATATGTACAAATGTTCGAGTTATGTAAATAAATAGGATAGGGACCACCTATACAAATCAGGGTGCATTCATCCCTGCCCACAGGATTCACTTCAAATCCAACGGTCCATAATTTATTTCAACTTTCCAATTATCAATCGCCACGTGTACATTAATGTGATGTTCTCCCATCTGTACATAAAATATGATTTTTGTTATTTTCATGTCAAAACACATATATCAATTTTTATTTTTATGCCAAAAATAACTATATATCTTATGCTATTTAAAATTTGTTTGATTTTAATTTGAATTTGAAATTTTAATTTGAATTTTTGTTTAAATTATATTTTGATTTGATATTTTATGAAAAAAAATATACTATTTTTTATTTAAAAATAGTTGAATGGATAATATTGATTTAAATTTAAAATTCATACCAAACTGCTATATTTTATACATTTATTTAGTATTTTGCATGTATTAAGGTAGTGTCTATAACAAATATTAGCTTGATATTTTATAA